CCCCTCCCTCCTGCCCCCCAACCCTCCCTGGCCTTCCCACTGCAGTTTGCCAATCAGTTTGAGGCAGCTCTGCCTCTGTATCTATTATTGTTCAAAAGTTTATAATGGTCTCTATTATCCATGAATGAGTGAGATCATGTGGTATTTTTCCTTCATTGACTGGCTTATTTCACTTAGCATAATGCTCTCCAGTTCCATCCATGCTGTTGCAAATGGTAAGAGTTCCTTCTTTTTTACAGCAGCATAGTATTCCATCGTGTAGATGTACCACAGTTTTCTAATCCATTCATCTACTGATGGGCACTTAGGCTGTTTCCAAATCTTAGCTATGGTGAATTGTGCTGCTATGAACATAGGGGTGCATATATCCTTTCTGATTGGTGTTTTTGGTTTCTTGGGATATATTCCTAGAAGTGGGATCACAGGGTCAAATGGGAGTTCCATTTCCAGTTTTTTGAGGAAACTCCATACTGTCTTCCATAGTGGCTGCACCAGTCTGCATTCCCACCAGCAGTGCACAAGTGTTCCTTTTTCTCCACATCCTCTCCAGCACTTGTCGTTTGTTGATTTGTTGATGATAGCCATTCTGACAGGTGTGAGATGGTACCTCATTGTTGTTTTGATTTGCATCTCTCGGATGATTAGCGACTTTGAGCATGTTTTCATATGTCTCTTGGCTTTCTGAATGTCCTCTTTTGAAAGGTGTCTATTTAGGTCCTTTGCCCATTTTTTGATTGGATTGTTTATCTTCCTTTTGTTAAGTTGTATGAGTTCCCTATAAATGTTGGAGATTAGGCCCTTATCAGATATAATGTTGGCAAATATGTTCTCCCATGTAGTGGGCTTTCTTGTTGTTTTGTTGATGGTTTCTTTTGCTGTGCAGAAACTTTTTATTTTGATGTAGTCCCATTTGTTTATTTTCTCTTTAGTTTCCAATGCCCTAGGATCTGTATCGGTGAAGAAATTGCTTCGGCATATGTCTGAGATTTTGTTGCCTTTGGATTCTTCTAGTATTTTTATGGTTTCCTGTCGTATATTTAAGTCCTTTATCCATTTTGAGTTTATTTTTGTGTATGGTGTAAGTTGGTGGTCTAGTTTCATTTTCTTGCATGTATCTGTCCAATTTTCCCAGCACCATTTATTGAAGAGACTGTCTTGACTCCATTGTATGTTCTTGCCTCCTTTGTCAAAAATTAATTGAGCGTATTGGATGGGGCTGATTTCTGGGCTCTCTATTCTATTCCATTGATCTATATGTCTGTTCTTGTGCCAGTACCAGGCAGTTTTGAGAACAGTGGCTTTGTAATACAGCTTGATATCTGTCTCGTTCTTATCTTCAAAGGGGAGTATAATAAAACCAGCCCAGGCCAAATGTGCATTGTTTACCAAGATATCATGTCAGAGCAATTCAAAAGCTTTTTTTAATTACTTGGATTATGTTAAATTTTCAAAATCTTCCTAGTAGTGCCCTAGCCGATTTTGCTCAGTGGTTAGAACGTCAGCCTATGGACTGAAGGGTCCCAGGTTAGATTCCAGCCAAGGCCACATGCCCAGCTTGCAGGCTCAATCCCGTGTGGGGCATGCAGGAGGCAGGCGATCAATGATTCTCTCTCATCATTGATGTTTCTATCTCTCTCTCCTTCTTCCTTCCTCTCTGATATCAATAAAAATATATTTTTTTAAAAATCTTCCTAGTAGCTTTCTTGAATGGCACACACTATAGTCTAGGCCCCATGTGAAAACTAGAAAGTGTAAATACCCTTTGCCCATGCTGAAGAAGATGAGTCTTTTAGTGTTTCTTCTTGTGCTTCATCCTGGGGTCTTTATTCTCTTTGGGGGTGTCCTCTTCCCTTCTTTGGGGATCTATATCCTTCCTCAGTCAGGAGCCTGCCTCATCAAGGAAGGAGCTCAGTAAGCCAGCTTCAAAGGTTCCCCATTTGCATATCCCGGGTTCTCACCAGCTTTTATAGCAAGAAATGAAGATCAGAAATCAGCCATAAAAATCAAGGAAAGATTCCATTCCCAACACTTAACATTTTCTTTATGACAAACTCTCCCATATACAGTTTTCCTTTAATCTTCACAACAGCCTTGCAAAATAAATACAATGATCTCCACTTTTACACCAAAATAACTAAAGCTTAGACCACAGATCTTAATCATAAAAGAGTTGAAATGTGGTCCCAGTCCTGGAGGAGCCAAAGCACTTACTTATATACTCTAATACACCCTGGTAGTGAACACATGGGACCAATTGTCTTTTTCTTTTCTTTTCTTTTTTGCACCTTTGGCCACTGACCTCCAACCCAAACCTACCACCTTGAGTAGGCTTGCCATTGGCCAGCAAAAAATTTCGGCTGGGATTTTGGATTTTTCACTGCAAATTCCTTTTCCCTGCAGGAAATCCAAATATGTGCCCTAATGGCTGTGATTTAAAGCACCATCTGAGCACAAAGGACATCCCAGTGTGAAGATGTTGCTGACTCATCCTCTCTGCTATCTGCGTGGCCTTGGATTTCTGCAGAGTGAATTTCCTCTCTGGCGAACTGGCCTGGGCCTGTTCTTTCTCAAGTTTGGTTTCAGGTCACTTTTCCAGT